TTCCCCCCAAAAACCTAGAATTCTAGAATTCATGTATTCATGTACTCGTATGTATTCGGTTGTACTACCCCCTCTTCCCCAAAAACCTAGAATTCTAGAATTCATGTACTGGCTCGTGCTGGGTATACTTATCGCTTGAGCGCCGTGTATGTCCATGAAAAGTATGGAATCGTTCAGCTAGGATGATATTTATGAGGGAGTGAAAATGAAATGTTGTTAAGTGAATTATTTCCGTGGGTTCGGGCTCGGTTGATTTCAATAGAAGTGTATTAGTTGGTTATTGATGGAAGTTATATTTGTTTTGTTTTCTGTAAGGTACTTGCAATGTTAGAGGGGCAATTGCATTTTGACTTGGATTGGTCGGGTCTCTTGGAATTGCATTATTTTGATTGCAGATTGCGAAATATGTTGTCAGCTAAGAAAGGGTTTTCCGTTTTTTTGTATCGATTGGAACATTTGTTTCAGCTGTAAGTTTTTGTTTATTACAACGTCTGTTGTTTCTTCGGTTTTAATCAGTTTCAACAGAACGGTGATCAAAAGTTGTTTTTATATGAATTATTTATTGTTTCTCTGCTTTAGATGAATGGCAGTATGTCAAAGTATAGTAAGTATTCATTAATGTCTGCTATTTCGTTTTTCTGTATCTGATAATGATTGGAACATCTTAATGAATAGTTAGTGTTTGATGAATAAATTTGTTTTTGTTTTCTGAGTTTAAAGTATTGCAGCTTTGCAATGATGAGTAAGTGTTTCTGTTTGCATAAGTTTTCATTTTAGTTGAAACGATTGGAGCATTGAAATTGAAAATATCGGTTTATGGATATAAATGTCGATTTTGTTTCTTCGTTAGATGAGTATCTTTTATTCTTTTATTTAGATTATTTTCGGTTTCGATACCGAATAGGAAGTAAGTATTCTGCTAAGAAATTATTTCGTGTCGCGTTGGTTTAGATATATTTCAAGATCTCAATCAATAGAGTCTTTTGATTCATGGATTTTGTTTATTCGGATTGATCTCAACTGTGGACTGGACAATAAGCGTTTATTTATATAAATTATTTCTTGTTTCTTTATTGTAGATGAATTGCAATATCTGAATCAACAGTATGTATTTAATGATATAAATTCTGTTTTTTATTTCGATCGATACCAACATTGAAATTGACAGCAAGTATTTATTTGATAAATTGTTTCTTCTTGTCGTATTTTAGATGAATTTGAAGATCGCAATCGGTAGTAAGTATAGATCTAAATAAGTTTTTATTTTATTTAGAACGATCTCGAGTGCAATGTGCAGTAAGTCTTTATTTTTATATAATGATTGTTTTCTTTTGTTTAGATAATTTTCAATAGCATAGTAGGAATTATTTATATTTTTATTTATATTTTTTCTGTTATTTAGATTATTTGCACCACCGAATGCGACGTTAGTATTGAGTTAAGCAATTCTTTTTTACTTTAGTTTAGGTCAATTGTAGAGTTTGGTCTTATGAGTTGTTTGCTTCACATTGTGGTTGATTTCGATTCTCTATGTACCAAAATGATGGACAATGAACATGTTTGGCTTCGATTGTCACGTGCTTCGTGTACCCATACGGTTTCACAGAAACAGTGCTTTCTTTGTCGGCGCAGTACTGAGATTTATTAGAGAGGGCAAAATGGGTATGAGAAATCAGGAAAATTTAGCTTCAGAATTTATCTAAATCGAGAAGTTTCGTTGCTCGTTAATAGATTACAAAAGATTTGTTATGGAACACTAATAAACATATAGAGATATTATCGATTGGGTGAGTGATTTTCAATTAGATTAGGTCAGAAAATATTGTAAAGGAACTAATGCAAATTGATTCACTATGAGTATGGACGATTTGAATTTCGATATATTCTGTTATCGTTTCTGATGAAAACTAGCTAAAACAGTCGATGGAATGCTTTTGATTTTCGATAATATTTTGATTGCGAATGTGATTACAATATAGCCAGAATCAAAAAATAATTCTTTTTTTTAATCAATTTTTAATCAATGTCTAATCGATTGTGTCATTTTTATTGTTTGATTGCAATCTTTATGAAGTTTTTACAGTATTTTGCTTCACATTGGAGGTTGTACATTTTTTTGATCGATAGTTCTGTTTGAAAAACAAAAATACCCTTTTTATCTAAGAGTTGTCATATTGACGGAAAGATAAAGGACGATCACTAATCAAGTTGAATTTGTGCTTTCACTGATGGTTCTCAATTGAAGATAAAAAATAACCTGCGACCCATATTATTATGAAACACTTTGTCACAAGAAATGACAACGTTGTTCATGAATTGTTGGTAAGCGATGTAAAAAATACAAACAGTTTAGGGTGACACAAGTTGTTTTTTCGATTTTTGTATTTTACACCTATTTGTGCCTTTTCTGTATGAGTTATTTGTTCTAGTGTTTCGTGAATATGGCGTAATAGAGAATGCCTGATACAAAAAAAGTTGAAGAATAATAAGCTTTTTTCGGGTAAAGCAACAAAAGAAGAAAAAAAATGGTTGAGTTAAACAGTGAATTGTGGTAATCATTGGTAATCTGGTCGAATCAAAACGTTTATGTATGTTGAATCATCAATACTTTGCACGAAAAGCTAGAAGATGTTCTAGAAGAGTAAAATAAGACACATTTATGTTGCATGAGCTCAGTAAATTTTACTTACATGTATCCATGACATCGATCGTCGAAAAGATGTTTATTGCTGCTGGTGATATTGTCAAAAGTTCTTTTAATTTCGATTTATCGCGAATATCATTCATTAAAGGAAAAACTAAATATACAAAGTCAAAGCTATACACAATCGATAAAAAGAGTTGATTTATTGTACACGACATGGCAATCTGGTTTTGATGTCTATAATAGCATTGAAATGAAGATAGTTAAGTTAGAGTATCAGTTTGCAAAGTATTGGATTACTTATAAAAAGACTTTCTGAACCACTTTGAGGAAGTTTAAAAACGGTTCGACAATTTTTTACATATATGACTATTTGCAATACAATGCATATAGTTAGTATTAACCTTTTCCTTTATTTCAAAATAGGGAATTAATTATAGAACTTACTTTCCCTACAGTCTAAACACTTTGTTTTATTTTCACTTGCTGTAGCAAAATATATGCTATTCATAATATGTAGGATCTTATTACAAAAAGAAACATTTTCAGCAAGTGGAAAGAATAAAAAATCACTACAATGAGAGAAAATTATAGGGAGCGCAACCAATTTTTGCCTCTTGTGTTTTTCTGAATTATTGGACATTCTTCTCGGAAAATATAATCATATATTTACCTGGTGGTATTTGAGTAGCATATGTTCGATTATATTCAAATTGATTTTCGCATGTGTTCCGTTCACAATTCATTAAATGAAACAAGATCAAGTACGCAACCCGAATCTTTTTTCCTGAGTATGATGATAAGGCATTTTGGTATTGTTTTAACACACTATTTCGCTGTTCGGCAGCTTCTGTGTTAATTTTTTTTGTTGTTTCATCATTATACTTGAAGTTTATGTTGCGTTCTTTTTGACACATGGGACGTTTATGGTTAGGCTGGTGAAAACGATCGATGAAGAAAGAACATTTCGCAACAAATTCAGATGATGAGGTTTTTAAAATTCGTCGATTAATATCGTTCTTTCCATATCGATTCCAGAAATACATAAATAAACTGCATGCATTATCATAAATGATGACGTTTGGCAAATGTTTTTGATATTGAAAATCGATTAATCCAATTATTTTCAATAAATGCCAAAGGGTAATGTAACATGATTCAGAACGATACAGTTCATCAAAGCCAATGATTATACCACAAGGAGATAACGTATAAATTATGCCTTGTGACATTTTCTGTTGCACATCAAGAAAACTAAAATTGTAGAGTATTTAAAATAGTACAATGAATCTAATCAAGATTCTTGTCAATAAGCAGTCGTATCGGACTATCGTAAGAGTCAGTAGAACTTTCCATTCGAATTTCAAGCTAGCTTTTCCTAAACACCTAAACAGAAGCCAGTCGCAGTTCTCATTTTAACTGGCAGTAAAATGACTACTTCTATTACAACATTCTTCACTGAAAATCGATATGTTTGTATGTATCATAAAACTTCTTAGAGAATTTAAATCTGCAGTTGAGTGCTTAAAATGGAACGCGAAATATAGATGTAAACGTTTTAGCTTGTGACTCGGTGTGTTTGGAGATGGATGCTGGTGTCACTATTCTATATATGTGATTGCCAGTAGTCGTGTGAATATGTTGGTGCTTGTAGTATGTATTGAACTCATACTAAAACCATATCCAGAATCCTGATTTGCTTTACTTTCTGTTAAAAAAACAATTTCTTTTCAAGCATGGATAAACTCGATTTTTCCCTCTTATTTGAAAAAGTTATTTAACATAATTGGAAGATTTCTCAATTCATATAAGACTACTTCTGAGAATAAGAAAATGCAGTTAGCCACCACCTTTGATTTTTCTATTAGGCTTCACATTATTTTTTTTGCTTTGTTTTGAATGTCTTGATATCCTCATGACAGTATGATAGTGAAACTGGTGGAATTTCTACAGAAAGAAAAACTAGCATTGTATTGATATCAATAAAGTATGAATTAAACTTGTTGGTAATTAAGAATTTCTAATGTCGCATTCAAAGAGATTCTGAAAATTGAGCTCGTAATTACATGAGGAAATACTAGTTTAAACCACATTTGATTGTTAACAACTGACTGAATTTTTGTCATAATTATCAAACATACAGTGTAATTCGAGATCTCTGGTGTAGCATTAGAAAACGTAACTTCAGAATTTAGAGATGCAACCCTGATGATGGTAGGAATCGTTTCAATGAAAAATTACCGTCATCATGCTTCTAAATCGTTTTAACAGTTAGAGTTCGATAAAAATATGTAAAATATACTGACTGACTCATCTTGAAAATTGAAGAAAAGAGACAAGAAATTCTTAAAAAAGACAACTGTTTTGTAAATTCAATGCAGCCGGATTGATAAGTGGTAAATCATGGACTCGATCTCAAAGCTCAATCGCATCATAAACTATACTTCTGATTTTCTCAAGAAAAAATGATTTGTCAATCGTCTCATTCATTATTATTTTCTATCAAAGTATAAAGATATGCGCTATATCATCTGCCCGAGTCTCGTGTCTCAAAATTTTATTTTATTGTACACCACCAAAGAAAACAAAGCAACTTCCTATTTCATACACAGACATCGAATCGCTATCTCGTGATTACTTATTTTTCTGAAATTCAGGTATTCATTTCATACATCACTAATAATGTGTAGATAATACAAACATATTTAGAAAAGACTCTTCTAGTAAAACTAAACTATGTAATTCACGTACCGATCTTCTCTTGAAACATTACATCCTGTTACTGGATCATCGTAAATTCCATTATCATCATTCGTTGTTAAATTTGTTTCGTTATCCGAGAATATTTGATGTTCCTGGCATGTTTTACACAGACCTGTTTTCCATTGAGGTGTATTACCACAACCAACATAGAGAAAATCTGGAAATTCTTCAGTTCTTATGAATTTATTTTTATTTTTGCATATTGGTCGTGCAACCTTTTGCATACCATCAATAATGAATGCCAACATACATCCATTAACTTCCCCATCCTTTGTACGGCATGGATGTGTTAAATGATGTGTAGACCAATGTTCAACGAAACGTTTGTACCAAGTATCAAAGTTAACGTCAAAAAAATGATAAAGTAATGCATCATTCAGTAAAATAGGTATTTCAAATTCATTCGTATCGTATATAAAGAATGTGAATAAACATAATTGATAAATGTACCAAATGTTAGAGAAGTATTCGCGATTAATTTCAGTATATATTTCGTTTACCTACAATACATATAGATTAATAATAGCTCCTTTATATTTTCTCTTCAGAAAGACAGCAAGCACAGTCGATTTTTTGAAGACGAGAGAAACGAAAACTTAATTATCTTAAAAGATATTCATTCCTCCCGTGCCCTAGTCTTGTAGTTTAAAGTGCTCGTATAGCTGGATAGTGCCCGTGCTTTCATAACACAAACGCATTATTTCTTCAGGATAAAATAGAAATAGTCATAGCATGCATTTTTCTAAATCCGAAAATATTGAGTCAACGACGGAAATTCTTCTGTTTGTTCGGTGTCTGATTTCTTGAGAACATTTCATAATGATGCTGTGTTGGTTTCATTTACTTTCAAAGAACGCTGATAGATAACGCATGCATCCAATGCCAATACGAATTTTTACATATATTAAAACGTCAAACATAAGACATGTGTAGCATTTAATTTTAAAATTAGTAAACCTATCATCACTACATGATGCCGAATGAATACTAGAGATTTTCAGATATTCCGATCGTATCGAATTATTCTACGATATGCTTTTGAGTGCATACAGGAAATAAGTGAAATAACCATGAATATAACTTTGATCGAACATTAAAAGTAACATGAAAGGTTTTTGAAATGGTTATCAAGTGTATTTTATCAGATACACTTGTTACTATTTCGATCGTCTATACTCATAATTAATTTTACTATTAGGAGAACCCCGTGCTAACTTTATTTATGATACGTGGAAAATAAAATACTTCTAGAAATTACAGCAACATATAGCAAAAGACCGAATCACTTTATTTCAAATACAGTAAAAACATTAATCATCGTTGCGAACAAAAAGACTTTTACCATCCAATTTTGTTTACAGAAATAAATTTACTGGAATGAAAGGTTCATTTCCGGAATAACTTATATCTGCAGAATGGAATCATGTATAGTCATTTGTAGCTGTTACTGTAGTACGCGCGAAGACATTTTCAGAAACTTGTTCATTCAAAAATAAGTCTTATCTTACTCTATTATAATTGACTAATAAGTCATTTTCAGATGCATAATGCTCAAGCTTTTCATTATTTAGTCAAGCATATAGACTGAAAAATAATAGATAGTACAACGCTTCTACTCCATACACTTTAATTGTAATATGAAAGTTCTTGCTATTTTATTTAGCTCTGTAAACATTTTGCTTACATCTGAATTTGTAAAATTCGTATCAGAACAATTAATTTTTTAATCAAATGGCAATATAACAATTACTATTGGTGCAGCATAATTCACTTTGACTGGAAAAGTGAGCCGTGTCCAATGCTCTTCGTCGACTGATCAGGTTAAGCATAGACAAAGGATAAATAACAAAGGACTAGTTTCGTTACTTGAATTCTATACTACTGGTTTAAGCTTGAATTGAAATTCAAAATCATCAGAAAAAAACGATTCACTGTCTACGCTGTCACTTTATTTCAATAACAGCAAAGAATTATCTCTAAAATGTTGCAAAGACTTCTGGTATTACGCAAATACTTACTAATTCCATATCTGGAGCTAAAGCGCAATATTTTTTCATCGATAAGTTAAATGAATGTTGAAAGTTTTCAAAGCCAGTGTAGAGTCGAAGAAAAAGTGATGTAAAATGGATTAGCAGCTTCAAAGAATATCCTTTTTTTACCACCAAAATAAATATATTCCTGATTGTATATTGATTGTGGCGTTACTAATCTTTGATTAGAATTTTTTTTTTCGTAATAATTGGGCCAATACTTAAAATAAGCAAAAAATATTTCAACAATTACAATAAACATTTTGTACAACAAACGTTCGAGGGAAGAAATAAATACGTGTCTATTTTGACTTCACTATTTGTTAGGGCTAGTTTCCTTCTTTATTGAACGTGAAAGAAGACTTTTGTATTAAAGAGTCATGCATTTTTCGGAGAGCTGTTTAGAAAATATTGTAGTTTTTGGTACAACAAAAAAAATACTGCAACAGTTTTGTCTGTTTGTTAATGCTTTCCTTTCACATCAGAATCTTTCGATGCTATTATCATGAGATAGCGAAACTTTTTCTGCGCCATGACATACTCCAAAATTGGAATACAATCTAAAATACAATTACCAGATTTGGAAAGCTTTCTCGGTTCTACAAAGATATAAAAATTCTCAGATTCAATGGGGGAAGAATTTCAGCTCAAAACACATTATTCGTTGGAGACGATAAAGCTGGACATCTAGATATCACTGTGAAACTGAAATATGAAAATGAATTTTTAATGACTAATTATCCTTAACACTTTGACGAGGTTTTACATCAGTTGAAATTATAAAGAGAAGATGAAGTCTACTACTCTGTAAAGAGACAGGTGGTCTGAAAGAGACTTTAAAATATAACGCAGTCATTTACTTCTCTTGCACCGTTGGCACAGCCGTTACCGTGGCAATATCAAAATCCATGAAAGATTATGTTCCAACAATAATCCATTGAGAACATATTAGAAGTGCTGTTTGCAGCCATCTTTCATGATAGGATATATGTAGAAAGTATGTTTCTCTATTACATGAGAAACAATTCGAAATATGTTTTTCTAAATGTACGCATTAGTAAAGAAAAGAATTGTCCGATTAACTGCTACGATAAAAAAGTGACATTATCAAGAAAGTTCTCCAAACCTTTAGGAACGTAGAATCCGAAGTTTTTTTCGTGAAACTGAATAAGATGACCGTTCGATCTATCAACTTCTACAACTAGAAAAAAGCTTCTTCAGCATTTTTGAACTTATTCTACTGTAAATATTATCGTTAAAATCTATATAACGTGTTTACATACAGCATAGTTACATTCAACACAACAGCAAGTATAAACACCCCCTTTGATAACTTTGTCAATATCATATATGTCGATGCTTCGATTAAATTTAGTTTGTAACTGCTTTTGACATTTAATGCATGTATTTATAAATGGTTTTAAGCATATTAATGTTGCTTCCGTATCAGTTACGGCACTGGAAATGTATTTGGCCACTAAACTATCGACATTATAAGTATGAAATAAATCTTTCATTTCTTCATTATCTAAACGAAAGATAATCTCATTAATTGTTGTCTCTGTGTAATTCGTATTAAATGTTGAATTGACAATAACACAGATATCTTTGACTCGTGTTTTGATATACTTGTCTAATCGATTATTTAGATCATTTATTAATTGAATAACCTTAATTTTGAAGATACGATGCAACGTTACAATATACATCTCGTCGTTGTCTACTAATTTATAATTCGATGACATGATAATTCAAACTAAATCTAACAAAACAACAAAGTAAACAAAAAAAAGAGCATGAATCAAAATGAGAAGTCTCAAAGAGTGCGTACACATCACATCAGTTTTTCATAAATACAACTTGATTATATAAAAAGTCATCTTCAATCTTTTCTAATTAATTAAAACATTTATCTCCTACACAATAAATGTAACGCTAGCTTACAAAGAACAGACTTTTTCGAATTAGTCCATATATGTCGAACTTGAAACTTGAATTCAATTGAAAATTGAAATTTTTAACTTTCAACTTTAAAACCAATAGGATTCTGAATAATCGCGACTCATACATATATCGCTATGAGTTGAAAGTTGAAATTTTCTATTTTCTATTTTCAACTGAATTCAAGTTTCAAGTTTGACACTACTGAATTAGTCATATGTTTTAATAGCTTTAAGACTTAAACAAGGAACTCTATTTCATATTCATCTTTTAGTTTTTTTTAATCTCAAATATCGTAACTGATTCAAATAGAATTTGCTTCGTTTAATCCTATGGTGAAGTCTCTATACCAAATATCAATAGTTATTTCAACAAAGGCTTTCGTTATTTGTGTTGCTATATCGGTTCATTGTTCCGTAGATTCTTTTTGTAGTACAATTGGCTTAAAGCGGCAAGCATAAAAAATTGCTATAATTTATGGAATTCCTTTTTGCATTTTCAGAGTCATTTTATTCTGGTTGCATAAACAATATTCTGCACGCACGCTGATATATTGTGATGCTATTGCTGTTCATCAATAAAATACATGCACATTAAGGTTATGAAATCTATAAATTATAAAGAAACATGCCTAGACCCTTGAAATGTGTCGATGATCTTTCGAACTTACTGGCATTGAGATATATTATGTGTATAGAAAGTATTCCTTATCCAACAGAAATAGAAAGACACTGAAAATGAAAAAAAAGGAATTTCACAAGCTATATTATTTTATTTTTAGTGTTCGTTACTTCATGCCAATTGAAACACAAAATGAACCTACGCAGAAATTAAAATATCTAGAAACAAATAATGGAAGCATTAATTTTGAAAATTGTTCATTTCTGTCTGACATAAAGGTTTCATCGTCGACTTTAAAGTAACAAATCGGAATCAAATTAGTTGAGATATGATAGATAACATTAAATTAACAGATGTTTAAAATAAATTTCCTTTTTCACGTTTTAAGACTACCAACATATACACAAAATCCCAAGTAGTCTATTCTAGTACGATCTTTCCGTTATAGCAAGAAAGCTCGATAGACTGAAGTTTTTATATTAAACATGGCTTCCTTGGGTCATTTTTAATGCTAAACATCGTATCAAATAAATATATAAACTCCGTAACAGATATTTTATAAATATTTCAATATGTATTTCAAGGAACAGTTATGTAATGAGCAGCGAATGACATGACATAAATCACCTGTATATAACACACAAAAAAAAAACAGTAAATATTTTCATTTAACATAAGTGATTTCAGCACACGAGTATGGATATGAACACAAGAAACAAAAAGGAAACATACACAAATAACTGATAGAAGCGAAAAACAATATGATTTTCGTAACAACAACAAAAAAACGAGTAGATAGGACACGTTAGGGTGTTCAAAATTCGTGTCGTCGACTTTTCGATCGAGTTCTTATAGGACTCAAATGTTTTCTTGTTCGTTTTGGAGTAGATGAGCCAGTTGGTATTGAATCAATCGTCGGCATCCCTGTAAGAAATAATAACTGACGTTAGATTATATGTATTGTAGCCGATACAGTATAATCTATCAGGATACAATCTTTTCTTTTTTGTCTTTTTATTACGATTATTTTTAACATGAGTGATCTCTGTCGAAATTTCAACATAACATAAAAGGCCTAGTATTTCATGACTATATATGTTTAGAATAAACCACTCTCTTCAATTGATGAAACGCAAATATATGATGAATCTCTCCAAAACAGCAAATCAGGTAAACGCTATCATGTTTTAAATGATAAATTAGACAAATGAACTCATTATTGTTAAAATTAAAAAAAAACCTTTTTTTAGCAGTGGTTAATACAGATGATAAACTGCTGAATTTCATTTATTGTATTCATAAAGAGAACTACTGTCGCATACTTTATCCATAAGAATGATTGGAAAGAAGTTCTAAAATAAGCTCGCAGCTAATTTCTGTAAAATATAATATCATGTCGATTACGATCTAAAAAGCCTGCTGAAGTAATATTGGTATACACACTCCCTCATCTCCTCTAAAAACGAAAGCACATCTCAGCCACTGATTTTAAACTGACATGAACTTCATATGAATAACGTCTCATTAACAAGCTTCCAACGGTTCTTTGGATTACCAAGGTACGTCGTCAGCCAAAAAATAAATACTGAAGTATACATGTAGTTCTTATTTGCATGCTTTAGTATAGTTGATAAGAGCAGAAGAATCATAAAAAACAACTTTAACATATCATTTCAAAATTTCAGATGCTACTATAGCAACATATTTCTTATTGAATGACAATATAACATCACTTTTTCAGTCAAAATTTATACAGAAGGTATCTGTGTAATTTTCTATGATTAGATCAGAGACGGTTTTTGTGGAACGAATGCTGATATATTGTATTACAGTACAACATTGTCAGTATAAATCACGTTTATTTTAATTGACTGATTCACAGGTTTTTGCTATTTTTATTTGCCTATTTTTGTACCCTACATTAATGATAGCCTTAATTGTTTCAAGTGAAATTTATCTCCCGACTCTTCATTCTTGTCACCAAAAGAAAGCAGTGAAGAAAAGTCAATAACTGTACTCATGGAAGCTTTTCATAATCTAACGGCTCTAAAAGGTAATATAATTTGACTTGCACAATAAATTTATGGAGTAATCTTTTTGATAAAGTTCTCTTGTTTTAAACATTTACGTATCTTCTGCCATTCTTAAATACAATCTAAGCTTTCTTGAGAAAAACATAGGCACTATATATTTCATTTTTTTCACGGATGACCCACCGTTACTCAAAAAACAACTTACGACATATGAATATACAAATAATTAAAAACTTTGTATTAAAAAAATTACTCATCCAATTTCTTGCTTATACAATTGAACATTTATTTCTAGATTCATGAGAATCACATCTAAAAACATATAATATAGAAACAAAATATATACCAGAAGCTGCATTTAACGAAACGTCGTGTAATTCGATAGATGAGGAAAGTTGATGTGATACAGATGTAGTAGTAATTGATGCCGTCTCTAATCGTGTATTTGAATCAACTGTAATTGAACTAAGATCTAATAGAAAAAAAATTGTTTTTGTTAGAAAACCATGCTTTTCTAATCAAGGAACAATCGTGTGTGAAATATACAAGCCATTTACTCTAACTTTTTCGCAAAAGACACTCTGTATTGCACAATAGGAAGTTATTAATATTATCTAGTGTATTAGAATTTATTGTTGTATCATTATTGTTTGTTGTCCCCAAACTTGAATCAGTTAAACAAGGGGAAACAGCAGACTTGAAGTACACAAAGTATACGAAAGTATAAGAGTAACTTCAAGTCGATTCAAGTATATAGAAGGAACTCCAAGTACATTCAAAGTATCACAAAGTTCATTCAACTACCATTAAAGTACCAATGAAGTACCATCGAGTACCATTCAAGTATCATTCAAATAGCTCAAAGTAGCTTGAAGCCCAAAAGTCTGCTGTTTCCCCCTTGCAGTTCAACCTAAAGTCAGAAATATTTTCTTTAATGTATCTATCTAGTATTTTGAGATTTTTCGCCTGAAAAATAACAATTTTATAAATATACCATTTGGACTTATTAAAGCAATTGACTCGGGTGGATTGGAAGATATATCCATTGCTTTGTTTACGTTTTGAGCAGAACTTGTGTCTAAAAAAGCTTATTGAAAAATAGATTCATGACAGAAGTATTTTATATGCATTTACCTTTTTTTGTTAAAACAGCTGATTCATTAAGTATAAATCCAACATCACTATATGGTTTACTTCGAAGAATTTCGGCTGCTTCTGTTGATACAAATGAGAATCTCTTGCTGTGACCAAAAGCTGTTTCCTTGAATGATGATGCATATTGTTGCCACGTAACATTAAAGGTATCTAGTTTCATTTGTTGAAATTCTAATGTATCAGAAATGTTATTCGTATCCAGTGGCAATTTCTTCATCCAACTAACAAATGTATTAGTCGTAGTAGCTGAAAAATTGCCTTCTTCTAATAAATCTGCCACCATCAATAACTTTATTGCTGATAAACATAAATTGCTATCGCCACCAAAACGACGATTCCAGCACGTTTTGGTAATGATCGGTGATGTTGATAAGAGCATCTGTTTGCATTTTGACAAAATGCGTGGTGGTATTGCGTTTGGATTTTTTAATGCCTCAAATGGATCGATACTCCATATTGGCTTTTCAGAAGTTGAAGCATTCGATAATATGAACGAATTTAGTGATGAATTAGCAACACTTTCTATATGATAGAATAAAGCAAAAAATTGAATGTATATAATCTGATTACAAAAATAATTAGGTACAGACCGGTTGATAGAATAGGAGTTGATGCAATTGGAATTGAACCTGTGAATTGGTCGTATGTCATACGTGCTATAGATTTAAAAGAACATATGGTTCCAATTAACAACGAAGAAGATATGGTAAAGTGAATGAGAACTTTTGTGATGCTTACCACCTCGAGATGAATCATTTCCATTGATTGGTTGAGGCGCATATGGTTCATTTCCGTCAGAACTTTTTGACGTATGCTGTTGCATGGAAATCGAATCCTGTAAATGTAATTGGTTTTGTAACGGTGATTGGCAAAGTTCTGAAATAAATTGACAAATTATAAATAATCAACATTATCAACAACATATAGTATGCGCAAGAGATTTTTACTGTTTTGCTTTTCATTACCTATTTCCATATTTGATGTTTCTGGTTCTTGAGCATGAAGAAAATCGTTTTTGATATCGTGCAAGATAGGAATTATTTCCATTTGACCTCAAAATACAAAGATAAACATTGCAGAAAAACTGCACCAACTCAAATCAATACTAAAATATCATTTACTACAATCACATATGATGGGCTCTTCTTCTTGTAATTGAGTAGTACTTTGTAAACGATTTTGCACTTCATTTTCTAAAGAAGTTTCCCTTTGAGCTATGTAAGGCTCGTCTGAAGCAAAATAAAAATAAATATAACAGGTTGTTTCACATGTATAGCTTTAAATGATCTTTCTCAAAAAAAGGTTGCATTAATATGAATGAGTCATATTCAATCAATGATCATTTTACTACTTTGAAAATATTCGAATCATTGTGAGTAGAATATCCGTCAATTCATATACTATATCTTATTCATACGTATAAGAGATTGAAACGAGTAACAAGCTTCTTATTTGAATTCGAATCGTTTTAGTTTTGTTTGAAATTACGTTTAAAATTTTCGATTCTGATTTGAATTCATTCATTCGATTCAAACTCACAGAAAAAAGAAATCAATGTTTTGACACATACCAGTTAGTACTTATAATATAATGTTATTTTCGTAGCAAAGTATTTATTTTTATTTTTGTTCTATTCTAATCACCTTCTCTATATTGCCATTTTCAATTAGCATTGAAAAATGATTTTCTTTAAAAGAAGAAATAGTAAGATAGAAGTTACATTTGTATTGGATAAGCTTACTAGTAAAATTTCAATATCAATGGATTAGAGAATAAAAGCTCAATTGATGCTGGAAAGAGCAGAATTTCATGAACTAGGTATGTCTTCCAAAATGAGGCAAGCGAAAATTGAGCGGCAAGACAACTAATCAAAAAGCTTTAGATTAAAAAATATTGACACGTTTCTGATAAGTTTAATTTCAAGGAAATTTATTTGTACAGTTACAACAAATAATGATTGAGCATCATTGAACAATATCAATATTATTTCTTTGCTTTACTATCACATGTTTATCATTAAAAGATGAAAAATTCTTTTATTAGAAACCTAATCATGCTTAAATGGTATTCATGGCTTGTTAACAAAGTATCATCGAAAAAATTCTAGAATTAACAACAATATTTAAGCTGCAGTTGATATCTGTACCACTTGATTGCACATTTTAAACTAAATTTTAAGCGTGCTATAATTGATGAACTCTCTCATAACATATACTGTAATAAGGTACTGTTTCCTTTTCCATCTACGCCAATCATTAGTTTGATATAAGATTACTAAGCCGATTGAGTTCATGCCAATTACAAGTGTCCATCTGAAAATTTTTACCATTGCTCTTTGACTTGGAATTTCTCAGCCATGTTACATAACTAATAACTAATCTTGTATAAATCATTCTGTTTTTTTTCTTAAGATGTTCAACTGCTATCCAATGACTGCTCAAATACGATAATAAAATAGTCTTTACAAAAAATGACTTCAAGATAGTAATTAGTGTTTCATCTGATTTTTTTCTAGCTAACATAAAAAATTATATATACTTCGTCGGTACTTATTTAACTAGGAGAAACTATATTGCTAGATTTCGTTGTCGCAGCGTTTCTTGTTTTTTCTTGGTGTTTCTGATCCACAGAAGAAATCGAATAAAAGTATTTGTATTCCATGAGATGCTACCTACTTTTGAAAAAATTCAATACCAAAAAGATCGGACTCAACTAAAGTGATGTTACGTTCTATTTGATTTAGTTTCGATCTCTGATGTATGAATATCGTGAGTTTTTATCAATATTTTGAAACGCCAAAATAACAATTTTAATACACTTGGCAAATAATTGAAGTATTTGGTTGCCAGACTTTCCACTAAGAAGTGTAACAACACACAGTAATATAAGTTTCCCCATCCATTCTTAATTGCACGATAAAAACTATACTGTTGATAAGAAAGTCGAGCTACCGTCGATGGGACATAAACATTTTATGGTTGCCAGAATATAGGCCTAAAAAAGATAGAAACTTCAAATGAAGGCTTACTCTTGTTGGTTTGTACTTGTTGCTGTTGTTCTGAAAAGCCACTTGGTGAATCAACGTTGTTCACTAATAATTGTTGTTGATTCATTGAAAAATTATCTAAAATAAGAATGAAAAAGTTTTTTGCCATACAACCAAACAATTGACAAGATTTACCACAATTGTTCGTTGACAATATTACCAACTGCGGTTGTGGCTGACGATCAAAAATGGAACTTCGTACAGATACATCACCACCTGAGTCAACAATGGTACACAATGACGAAACTTATCAATAAACAAGAAAACGTTTACCTGTGTTAAATAAAGAATTCAATAGTTGTTCATCAAATTGATCAACTTGTTGATCAACCGCATCCATTGACACTTCATCATGTACATTTGCCAAATTAAACGCTAAAGGAAAATGTGGATTGAAAAAATGTTTCCTGTATTTTGGAGGGACGTTCTTTGCTGATCAATTTACTGGTTTTGATTTTATTGTTTTCGGTAATCATTCAAATAAAAAGAATTCGCCGCAGCTAGTACTCACCATTTCCACCGCAAACATTAACAATTGATGTCACTTGACCATGTGCTAAATCTGAAGTACTTTGTGTAACATACGTGTCTTGATGATTATTTAATACCATAAAGTTAACATTTTGTTTTTTCATTACGAATTCCCCATCAACAGTTAAAATTGTACCATCTGGTGAAACAGCACTTACTTTGTAAATATCTTGATATTCATCAAATTGTATATGATGTTTTTGTAGTTCGAACGATAATTCTTTTTCTTCTAATGGATCAGATGGTAAATATTTTAAATATGATTCATATGTACCACTTTGTTTCGATGATTTCAAAAATTTTCCTTTTTTGAGAATACCTCGACGAACCAATCGATTTAGAAAATGATCTATTTCATCTTTGTGGATATTCTTTAATACACCTCGATTTCCAAATAACGTGGTTTTATAAAAAAAACGATAAGGTAATTTTAAAATATCAGTTTGATTTCTTAATTCTGTTGGCGTTTCAGTGCTATCGGCATTAACACGATTGTTCATCAAAATAAAATGCTGCGGCATTAGTACATCGATAAAGATATGTACAGCTTCTTCACATGTTTGTTTTGTGATTATCATTTTTGAACCATTGATTGCTGTTGTTACATCGTTCGTTAAATCTGGTGATGGCCCAAACATTGCTTCGATAATTGATTTGGCTTGATCGATAAAAAATTGGTCGTAATTTAAAAAATCAAGCTGTTTGATTTTAGATATAACAGCAAGTATATCTTTCTGGTATTGAATGTTTGAAGCCAGACGTATAATCAATTCAGCACCACGTCTCTCGACGACTTGTTCATAAGATGTTGTCGCTCGAAATTTGATACGGGGATGTGGTTCATTTGAATTTAAGGATGTCAAGTATGGTTGTATATATACGCTGGCATCGGGTGAAAAAACTTGAATTCGATTACCCATAAGACCACGTATAATATATAAATGGACAATTGATGGTCTTGCACGATTTAGTTGACTTTCTTTTCCTAAACAAAACGACATTATGAATAAAAAATCCGTTGAATATTGATTTCAAAACTCTGAAAAACTTCAGATTCCTAAATAAACTTCTCTTTTAACCGTTTTCCAGATATGAATGTACATATATTATTCGCAAAATACCAATAATTCAAATAGCAACTGGAACTAACGGAGAATATAAAACGTCTCCTATTTTTGTCGTTCTTACAGCAAACCTTGACAAGAGCGGGGTATGCTGGTTTTAATACTATAGATTTGCAAATGCTTCACGATTCGTACAATTAGAATAAATTACCACGAAGATATTAGCAATATGTTGCTGGATTTATAGTGCATCATGCTTCCACGACGTACAGTTATTACTGGTCTATTGAACGATCTACATTTAACACTTAATGAGCTGCAGACAAACCCTTTCATGTACGAGATAGAACTTTTAGATGCGGAGCCACCGCCTGACATAGTTGAAGTATTACCCTGAATTGTACGACTGTTAATTAGAATGATAGATGCATTTTGTGCAGTATAATATACTCAAGCTGAAATACCGTATGCAAGAGCTGCATTGTGATTAATCGTGTGTTGACGACGAGAGGGAAATATAGGAGTGAAATGAATAATAAATCTTAACATGCTTTTGCAAGTTATCGGTAGAAGATGAGCTTTTCCGTGAAGTGAATGTATTATAATTAAGAGGGATGTGAAGCCAATGATGTAACATAACTCTCGCTTATTTCTTATGCTAGTGGTGGAATGGTATCATACGTGATGGTGGATAATAATGCGGAGAATTAGTATCAGGATTTTTCAATAGTAGCAACAATAAGAATGTGAAATTCTGTCTCTTAGTATTCTATTTAAAGTTCACATATAATTGAATTATCAAGTATGAATAGTTTGATACAGCAACGAAAACGTCTGTTGTAAACCTTGTAGACATATCAGATAGAACAATTGCTAAAAACAATATGATCTCGTGTTAATATCATGTGGACAGACATTCATGACTTCATGTTTGAATATACAGATGTTACATGTATAGCTGCCCATGAAACAACAATGGATGTTAGTGGACGTGAAGCATCATATTATATTATTCTGCTAATAATGCAAAGATACGTATATGCTCTTCGAACAGTTAAAAAGAACGAAAATGCTTTCAAAATCGATCACAAAATAGATGGATACTGAAGTCTTTTGAAAAATCTATCGTTGCAATACAATGTATATCAACATGATGATCAACACAAAAACAAGTAAGAACAAAATAAATATTCGATTAATCTAATGATTAAAATTAAAAGACAAATATTATGCGATACCTTGACAGTGCTAATAAGAAGTCAGCTTTAAATATAACAGAACTGAAATAGGTGACAGTGCATATATGTAAATACTAATCTATGTTTTGTTTTATAGATACTGCGTAGTTACCCAAAAAATACATGACACTTCGGCGAACTCGATCAAAAATAAGAGTGACCAAATAATAAATGAAATATATCTTGATTACCATATATTAATCATATATTACTTAGTCAATCACTTTTCGATCATATTATATGTATATATATATATATATCCTAGTTACTTATTTTATCAATATGTTCATGATTAAATACTCAAAAGCGAGAAATAGTGTTAGTAAATTTAAAAAACGTTTACTTACCATCAATAGTTGTTGCAGGCTCGACACAATGTAAAAGAAATCGAGGATGAAACCCATCTGTTGTCAAATTATCAAATAAGTGAAGCAGAATATTCAACCATTTGGCACCTGTTGAACCAACACAAATTGATAGAGTTTTATTCTCAATAATCGTACGCCCATGAAAATTTGATCGTGTTATTGATTGACCATCGAAAAGAGCACTTGCACATCCTCGCATTGGAATATTGTCTTTATCGTGATCAAAAAAATTTAATTGGTCTAATATAAAATCACCTTCTGGTGCACAAAAGAACAAGTTCGATCTTGTTAGCGATCGCATCGCTTCAGGATACGATAACGATTGTTCAATGAAGGTAATTTTTCGTAAAATATCATTTGGTAACGGTGTTGATAAACTTTCAATATTTTTCGTGTTGGTGTATTTTAAAGCAAAGACAGCTAGTTCGATTTGGTCCGCTTCGCTTTTTTGCGTGAACAGGATCTTTTCGGCTGTTGTTGTTGCATCATATACCTTTTGTATGTATTTCGATTTTTTAGAAGCTAAAAGGAACATCAAATATAATCATAGAAAATAGTCATACCCCAACAAAAATTATACCACTTGCACCAACTATAACTAAAAATAAACTTGTTTTTGTTTGGCTATTGGTTTCAGCACAATACGTTGATGAATTATTTCCAAAATGACCAAATCCAATCAATGACGATAAAAAAAAGGTTAAGCTATTAAAACCATATGCTTTCGTATAATTTTCATACACTTCTAATATCGATGTCGATTCAGGTAAAAAATTTGCCAAATTCAAATTTCGTGTCATTTCACAACAGTTTTCAAGGTTGCGCTCAAAGTATTCGGCGGCAGACTTCCGCTTAAGCATAACGACAAAATAAAATTCGATATTAATCTAAATGAAACTACTGAAAACTTCCATGATTGCCGTTTCTAATAAAGAAAAAGTACATACTAAAGCAAAAGAAACCCGTTTGTTAGATATTTTTGATAAAAAGCTACACGTTAATGTCTTTGTCGATTGCTAGATGATCTAACTTAAATTATGCGATAACGAACACAAACTATTTTAAACCAATTATATTTTTTCCTGAATATTTATATCTAGTAGGTAAAACCTAAAGAAAATGACAACGTGAAATTTCAATAATCTCTTTCGTTCCACTTGGAATCATTCTATGCAGCAAACCATTTGTTACTATAACAACACGATGGGTTCGTAAAGTTGCGCCATCTATATTATTATATAAGTTATTTTTATTCGTATATTTTTGTCAAATCTCGTTTTATTGAGTAAAATGCATACATATCATACAATTACTTTCATGAACTGTAAATTAACAATTTTTAAATTTTCAGACTAAAGCACGAAATATATGAGTGATGTTAAGAGAATTTACAAAAGGCAAAATGTATGCATAAAACTCCTTCACATTTAATTCACAAAGATTTTAAAAATTGTTTAAATCAGAGACAAACCAAATTCTCAGCAAAAAGATGTAATGTAAGATGATATTTGGATCATTTAATGTTTTTCATAAAAATAAATAAAACGTTCTTTACTTTAAAACAGATTTTATGTTTTAATTTGGACAGCGAGACCTGATTAATGAAAAATGGATACTCATTCACTTACATTATTTAAAAATTTCGTTTGCACGATCAGATCTAAATAATGAATAAAAACGTCGTTGTTCTTCAAGTGACCTTTTTTTGTTTAGATCATTTCATCCTCCCGTTAGACGCTGTCTAGGGTTTGATTAACCGATTTCTCGAGACTATTTATATTGTCAAAGTGATCAATGAGTGTTATTCTAATTAGAAAAAAAAAACTTTCATGTAGATCACTGGATATGACGAATTAAAAGTAAAGATTATTATATATTTTGTTTTTGTATTTCAGCAAAATCGAATCATATTAGTAAACAATAGAAATTATATAATTCAAAGTCATTTTGCCTATTTAGAACTTTAATTTTCGTAATAAATAGTCACTAATTTTGTCACAAAACCGTTTTTGATTTTATTTTGTCGTATGATGCTGAAAAGTGAGCACGAGTGTTTTTCAATTTAGACAAATCATTCTTCTATTCAAGTTACTTGCCAACCGATGACTGGTTATACTTACGCTACTAAATGCATTTCAATAAAGATCAGCTGATGTTTGAGATGGAAAAGGCAGTCACCCATTAAGACAGAAATGTTTTCGTTTAGCTCATAATATATCAGTGAAAAATAAATACCACTTTAATTAGACTTTATATCAAGTTTTATTTACATCACTTGATAAAAACCGAAAGGTAATGCTCTTTAACTTCAAGTTTTTTGAGTAGTCGATATGACAAAGCTGAAAGTAAAATTAGCCAATTCAATTTTTTTAATGATATTGAACTGAACTAAGTACAAGCTACATCCTAAAACAGTCATTGAAGCAAATGATATTCAACTAATATTTGGAAAGTGAGTGATTGTGGATTAGCACTAAAACAAAATAATTTTCTCCATTCTAAGATTTTTCGCGCAATTTCATTGCTATGAAAAAGAATTTGGTGTCGCTTTATCGATAGCTCAATATTAGGAGTTCGATATTAGGAGTTCGATATTATGACTTTATAGTATCATCAATTTTCTCAATGGAAATTTTTTTCCTATATATGGTTTTGAAATATATTCTATTTATCGTCAATGAAAATCTACGATTATTTTATATTTTGATATATCACATGCTGTTTTCAAATAAAATCTGACTTTTTCTCAGAAGAAAATGACATAGATAATACTCTTGCTTTTCTCATATGACTAGGATTTCTCGAATTGGTCGGAAAAAATATCGAAATGGAGTATAGCGCCACCTGTACTTGCACTTTTATTTTTGACATTTTTTCTTTCGACCAAACTTGAGAGATTCATGATTAGATCTCATTCAATAATAGCTTATGATATAGAAAATAAGAAAATAAGAAACTTTTTTCTGAACACAATCTCTTAATAAATTGCTCGTGTAAAACAATGCGAATGTATTTCTTAGAATCAAAAGAAACAGATCACAAATAGTTTGCATGTATGTTATGATTGGCTCCTACCTCAATATTGTTGATAGCAATAAAAAATTATAAATTTTATCTGAAAGATACTATTGTTATATTAATATACCATTTCATAAATAAACAAATAGCAATATGTTGATAAAACATAACATGCTCTATACGAACGACATTGCACACAGACAAATTTTGACACAATTATTTGTACAAAAACGAATTTCTGTTCTCATAGAAAGATATTACAAAGACATTTTTTGAAACAATGTCTAATGCCATAACAAGTTGAATGTGATCGTTCGATAAAAAAATTGAACTTCCATTATTCTGTTAGTTTATCTTGAATTTACATTCTTTCAAATTCTAATGTAAATTCAAAAAATGTCTTTTGTGTCGATCTGAATTCATTCAAAAGATAAATCCAACTTGAATACTTTCCAATCTTACTTTGATTCATTAGAATCCAATATAAGTGAATTTAAATTTATGTTATAGGCTTATATCTATTCTAAATGTACATAAAACCAATTTCAACGAATTAAGGTGAATTGAAATTTCCACAATTAGTTTTGAAGAGAATTATTTTTTGTAAATATAAATCGCTCATTCTCACGAGGGAACATTCCCAAGTGATTCGCATCGTCTGCTCTCATATTTTTCTCATAGGTAGAATCCAATGAGACTAGGAAAAGCCTCAAGGATTTTGTCTCCTTGGGCATTTCCTCCGAAGTTATGACCGGTTTACTGAATTATCAATCTTGTTCAAGGAATTTGTAGAAAAATTGAATATAGTAATTCTGAGCTGACATTTTGTGTAACAATACATATCATTGATATTAGAAAATTNGAAAAAAATTAGCCCAGTCGACATTAAGTCTAGACAAATTTTGGTCAAAAAAATGAGCTCCAAGTTTAGAGTTCACAAATTTCTAGTGTCTCCACAAATTGGAGCTTGTAATTAAATGCGCTGTTGCTTGAACATCATCAATCGACCAAGCCTGCCCAATAGTATCCATTTGAGTAATCAGAAATACGGAGTTAAAGTTCTGAGCTGGAATTTTCAGCGAAATTTAGACATTGGTAAACTCCAAAATTGTAGCTCACTCTTTTTGGCCACAATTTGTTTTCATAAGATACGCATCAATACTAAAGACACAAAAAAGCTCTTCTGTTTCATTTTCCTTTACCTATGAAAGGGCCACAAAAACCAAAGTAACATCGATCAGAACTAACCCGTTACGTTTTCTCATTAATCATGTCTATTTTATTAAACTAGCTTGATGGTGAGCTAATATAAGCTAATCGGTTAGTATATCGTTCAGATCATTTGGCAAAAAGTCAATAGATTATTTACCTGTTTTTTTGTGTTAATATTCACGGGTGGATCATTATTGATCAGTCTAGAAGAATAGTGCTGACTGCAAAACTACGACTTACTAAGTATTGGATAAAATGAAAACATCGCAAGTTCCTCTTCGAAGCTAGTTCCTTAATTCAATTGTAACTATATATCCTCTGTTGAATTTAAAGTTGTGGTCCGATTCGCCCTTCTATGAACCAATATGAGCGTCATTGTGCAAAGCGTTTTGAGATTCTCACCTAATAGAACTACCACTACATGGCTCTCTCAAAGGAATGGATTTCAAAATATTAAATGAATGGAATGACTTTGTTATGCGTTAGCAAAAGTTATATTTTAAGTGTTTTTGAGAGTCTATATTAGTTATTTCTAGGACGTATATCGGCTTTCCACGGGATTCCATGGATTCCCATAGGATTCCAAAGATTTCCATGGGATTCCAGGGATTCCAGGGATTCACACGGGATTCCCATGGGATTCGGAATCCTGGGAATCCGCCGTTTCCTCCTTGATGGAAATGCTTGTTGTGATGATGCAGCATCGCTTTAGTACAGAAATGAGGTGAAACTGTAGTGGATGAAGGATATCCTTACAAAGCCCTTTTTTACATCTTGAATTAAAATTCTTCATATCAGTATATTGATTTGTAGGCGTAATCAATGATATCTATCGGGCAATATTATTAGTACTATTGGCTAGTATTTAACTATTCTTATCCTACTGTAATGCAAACAAAATTGTTTTTCAAATCTTTAATGCTACATGGATTTCGAATAATGATAGAAAGTATCAGTGGTTATGCGTAAAAGCTTGATAAGCTTCTGTACGTAGTGTTGAAAAAGATTTAAAAAATCCGATCACAAAGAGTCTGTATAGACTTCAATGACATAGTAAAATTGTGACGTAGCTATATTATTTCGATTACTTTCTTACGCGGTAACCTGTCAAATTGGCGATTAATCTCTGTCGGGCGGCTTGCGAATTTTTAATAATGACGATTTATTTAACAAATCATAAACTGAAAATTTTGATTCTTTCTGAAAATGATAGTGGCATGTTTTAATTGTCGGATTACCATTATTATCTTCCATGTTTTTTTATCGAATATGTTTTTCTAAAGAAATAATATTAGTTCGAGAAAGTGTGAAAACCATTCGATTATTCTCAATTGAAATCGATTTTCATTCATTAACGTTAGAAATTGCCTTATGTTGCATCATTTTTTTTATTACCAAAACGTTTACCTACTCGATTTTTTAGATTTTTACACGTGAAACATTTTGGTTTGCTTCACCAAACATAATAAGCGATCACAATTCTAACTTGAGCGGAAATCTTTAACGTGCCTGACAACGAACAAAGATCAATATTTAATGCAAATATCGAGATGATCGGTAAGGCATGGATCTAAATCTAACAACAATGAAGTTAATCTAAACAGTACAAAATTGTACAGACGAGTGTTATAGAATATCTGATGAAATATTAGAATATTGAAGAGAAAAAAACTTTTTCTGCGTAAAAAAAGATTCATTCTGTTTTCTACTTGATGCATTTCGGCATATCGAATAACCATTTCTCTAGTGGATTCACAATTTTCTTACAGCATTTTTATATTCCGTACAGTTCGCACTAAACGATATACGCTTTCAATACGTTGCTTGTAAAACAGAACTAAAAAACCTTTCAAGTAATTTTAATATTTATTGAGTAAAATACATGTAAATAAACTTTTCTCACTAGTTTTCACTTTTTATATTACTTATTCATTTCGACGATGAACCACAACAATTCCGACTAATTTTTGCTGCAAATAATCACTCAAATCAGTAATTTTATCTGTAAAACATATTTTCTGTAGCAATGTTTTTTCAGATGTATCTGTTCACTTAATCACTGACACGAGCATCAAGTCAAATAAAAAGAAGAAAGAATGTGCAGGGAAATTTTTTCTATATCGTTCTGCACGTCATGCATCAATAAACCATACATTCATTGCCTATTATAAAGTAGACACGTTTCGAATGAGATTGTTTATTGACAGCGTATTTTAAGTAACATATGAATATATCAGTATTGTGGTCGTTTTCAAGTCTTTTCCAAATTGCTTAAGATATTTCGTGTTAATGATACTAAGTGGTTGACATTGGTTGTCTAAAACAGATCTGAACTTGCAGCAGCTCGTGTTTCCTGTTCTTTTTGCTGCCAGTAAGACGCACTACTCATTTTATTGATGAAATCCAGAACTTTTTCTTTTAACTACAAGAAAAATAGTCCATATAAAAACTTCATGTATATTTCACAGACTGTTTAGTTTTGCGTGTTAGTTTTACTCCTTTAACATTTGATATGAGAAAAATGCGTTACAAGGAGAAAACAGCTGATTAACTGTTAAGGGCACTAGAGAATTTACTAAGCGTAACATTATCAATATTCAAGTCAAGTAACAGTCTTTATGAGCTACTCACTCATTAAGAAACTATTGCAAAGCGGACCTCATGTAATACACGCTCGTATCGAAAATATTCTATAAATCAATGGCTATTTGTAGCCTAGTTATTCACTGCTTTGTGTCTTGTTGATAATTATTCTTCATTTGAGACGCTAGATGGATTTCTAGAAATAGGTATTAATCAGGAAAGAAATTGAGTGAGTTTAAATTATTAACAGTGTTATAAGTGTGGAAGAAATATATTTGCGGTACTATAATTCGCACGACAAAACATATTAGTTTAATTTTAGTGCTTTGTTGTGTTGTCTTTGCTTCATATTATATGAATGCATATTTCATTTAAAAAATGTAAAAGCTTCGATTTAAGCCGTCCCTGGTCCATCTCTAGTGATTACTATTGATGTATAATAGTTTTTGAAATTTTAACAAGTTAATTTGTTCAAGTTCCATGGAGTTTCTAAGAATAAATTTGCGATACACAGAACGGGAAGAAATCAATTTTTTGAATAATTATTAGGCTAGACTTCGATTATTTTCTATCTAGCTCATATATTATCGCTCAAGCTAGCCAACTCATTATCAGTAGTCGTAGCCAGAAATACGAGTTGTCCATGTAAACTACTTGATAATGTATAAAGTAATAGACCTAGATGTTTGTGTTTGGAAGTGTTGAAAGATGTACAAGTATTCTTCCAAACAGAATTTAGCTAACCGAACATTCAGTGTTTTAGGTTATATCGGTGAGTTCGGAAGTTGCAAAACAAAATGGATGCATCATCCGACAAGCTTAAATCCTATCAATCGCTTGATTCATCGAACATTGACGATAACCATTTAGGAGAACCTCGTTCAAATAATGCGACATCTCCCAATACGTTTCTGTCAGTCCTCCAAAATCAGTGGGCTAATCCACGAATCCGAAACTGGATATATTATTGTCTTGTGATTATCAGTCTACTCGTTCTTATTCCAGGTCTTTGGTGTTCAATGATTGATGTGCACATCTATACTAATTTTGCTGGCACAAGACTGGTTGTAGCAAGTCAAAGAACAAGCATTTTATCGACAATATCCTATTTATTCGATCAAGGTCGTTATTTACCTGGTATTCTGATTATAATATTTGCAGTGGTAACTCCAATCATCAAATCGATCTTGTTGCTTCTAATGAAGTAAGTGTGGGCTTTCTTGTTTTTCCGAACATTTTCATACTAGAAAAATAACAAAAACTGTCTATACCATTATTTAACTGTTGTAGCAATATGCATAAATCGAAATACAACTACTTGATTTATACTATTATTCGTGATTGGGAAAAATGGAATATGGCTGATGTGTTTACAATGTCTGTATTTCTCGCTTTCTTATCTTCGGCTTTCATAAAAGATATCGAAGCAAAATTACTCGCAGGATTCTACTGTTTCTTGGTATACTGCATCGTATCAGTGATAGCAGTACGAGTCATGTGGTCGCCATCAATTCCAAACGACACACCTGAAGAAGGTATATTGAAAACTATTGAAACTGTTGAGCAGACACCTTCTGATTCCTTTAACGATCTCAGTGGTAATAAGAGTGTTCAAGATAATAACCCAACTGCAATATCAATGGATGATATCCTTAATTTAAACAAACTGAATGAATCAAAAAATCATTAAAAGACTTCTGAAATAAGATGTTCGACAATGATAAAAACGATGGAAATCAATTATAAACACTGTTCTATTAATAGCCATCTCAGCTAACATTCATATTAATACTATCGAATAAAAACTACTAAGACCTGGCTTCAGACTAGAAAAATACAAATAAACAAGCTAACTTGGCCAGTTCTTGAAAGATGAAAATGTTGCCATTAATGAAATCGAAGAATTAGTTAAGAAAACTTCTATTATCAGTCATTGTGTGCCCAAGTAGATAATAAAAAGCCTGCGATAGATGCGACGAGTGCCCGAAAATATTATCTATATCATTTTTGTTCGTTCTGTTTCGATTTCGAGCCCCTCAACATCCATCGAATTCCGAGCACTCGAAAATTGCCGTATCAGATATTTATTTTCGCCTCCTCAAGAACTTTTAGATCCCTCGTCACTCATCCGAGTTTCGAGTACTCGAGAAAAAGAAACCTATCGGAAGAGTCATATAGCACACTCGGGTAAGAAAAAATTTTGGAAAGAGATAGTTTCAAGTGGTAAACTTAATGTTTCTTTTATGAAACTTGTTCAAAAAAGATTCAAAAATATCTAGTTTATTCAGTGAAATAATAAAAATGATATTTGTTAGACCCTTAATTTAATAATTTTCTAAAATTCGTTTAATATTAAACAATCAAAAGTGACATGCAGGACTGGTATGTAAAATGCTATTCACCAACAATAAATTTAGGACGAATATTGTGCTATGAACCTCTGATAAAATATATAAAAATATTAATTTTACACTCTATCACGAAATCAAATTATTTGTCAAATGAGCTACTTATACGACATCTGAAACTGAGAGAAAAGTTGATTTATTAGTTAGACACATCTTAGATGAATATTGTTTCCATTTTAACCTTTTTGTAATATTCGAAAACTTTGCGTAAATATTCAAATGTTCTAAGTAGCTACTATTCTTCTTAACATTGAAAAGATAATTTTCATCGAAGAAACATAGTTTATATCTGGTTTAGATGTTTAACGACTATTCAACGTAATTACCCATGTTCTAATCTTCTCCTTGGCATTTAATCGATAGGTTTCGACGACTCAAAAATGAGACATCTATACGTAAAAATTATTTTTAATTTTCATCCCATCGTGAGACTACTTGGGCACTCAAGATTTCGAACCGAATCTATCGATCAAAAAACCAAAGAGTAGTCAGTCAATAAGATACTTAGTAAAGATAACTATGAAAGGGATGAAACAAACGATTAATTAAATGATGATGATGATGATGATGATGATGAAAATGATAAAGAACTTTAGTTCTTCATGAATTTTCATTCATATCATTAATTTCATGTTGAATTTTGAATACCTATGATAGAAAACGGCCATATTGGATTCAAGACCTTGTTTGAGGTTATACTACTTTAACTGAATGAAATCAGGCGAATAAATGCTTTTAAAAGAATGTTTCATTGTAGAAGCTCTTTATTTATAGAATTATTGATAATTTAAAAAGTCCTACATAGAACATAGCAAAGCTATTGGCGTATTATATTAAAACTATTTTCTAACATATGCTGAGAAAAAGTTGTGTCAGAAAAAATGTAATAAATACTATAGAAGAGATAAGTGAGCCGAAACAAACAAAATGTTGTAGTTCTGATACATAAACTACTAATATGAGAATAGTAAGAAATCAAATAGGAGATATAGATTCATAAACAAGTATTTGGTTCATACATACTTTGCTACATAAGATATGAGTGTTATTAATTCTTATGATTGATTTTCTAATTGTATCTTCGGTTGACTCACATGCATGAATCGTGAACATTTTATTCTATTCCTTGCAAAAATAGGAGCGTGGTAACGTAAATAATAAGGTAGAATTCAGAATTAGTTTAGCTCAATGGACAATGAACAAATCACTCACTTTTGACTATCAATCTTAGGCTAGTTAGAAGTGCAATATTACAGAATCAATTAAAACATTCTTCTCCAATATTACAACATGAGCAAAATATATCCAAATTTTCTATGCGACGCTCAATGATAGTATCTGTAAAAAATGGAAATGTTTACCACTCATTGTAAGATAAGTTTCTAGTCAAAATAAATGTCGAAGCTTCAAATTGTGTATCCTAGTTTAAACTTTGACAACAAATACGAATAGAAATATAGCATGAGCTACAGCTCGCTTATTATTTCACATTGGTTCTTAAGATCATGTTAGCGAGCCTTGAACCAAAGTTGATGATTGCGTCCTTCGCCATGAGCAGGGATATTTTCTGTTAAACTGAAAATAACTTCAAATAAAAAAAACTAATATAATTTTGCTCTCGACTAGAAGAAAATAATATATACGCTAACTATTCAGAAGAATTTTTGTCAATTTTTATCGAAATCAGTGGAAATATCAAGACAAGAGCGAATCATTTGTCACATAGTAACCAATCAATGTCAGGAAAATTATGATTGTAGCGATCCGAATTACTTTTCCCTAGATATCATTAAAGAATTTAGGAGACACTCTATCAGAAAATCAAAGATTTTCAAATTTGAAAAAACCTGGGGGTCAACCAATTTTGGATTTGACCCTCTAGAAATGTCAGCCCTTGTATACCATATATGAATGCAAAATATTGCGGTCTAAAGATTTACTACTGGCTCGTTGGAGCCGTCGTACCAGACACACTCTCAAAAAAGCTCTAAAAATTGTCAAAATTGGTCGATTAGTTCCAGTCAATGTTTTTGGTATAAATTTTTCACTGTCGAAATCGAGTCATATACCAGTCGACACAGCTTGATTTGTTCTACAAAACTGCGTTTCAAACGGAAAAAAATCGAAAAATCAAGATTTTCTTGTATATGACACGCTGTCCATTTTTTTAATATTTTGGTCTAACGCCTAGGAGAGAAATGCATGTCCAAAATATATTTTATACTAGCTGATAGAGCTTTCAATGCTGCATCGAATGATATAGAGGAAATTGTTTCAGAACGTTCGAATCGTGAGAATATTCCATTTCAATATCGACCATTGACATCATATTTTACGCATTATACAGAATTTGTCTGTGCACATTTTTTCTTCGCGAGTTTTTAATTTAATAATTAAATCATATATAGCAATCGATACACTGTAAAAAGAATTCGTAGAATAAGAAACCCTAGCACTTTCAGAAAAATTTCCCAAGCCCTTTAATGGTTTTTGAGAAAAAAGGTATTTTAAATGAAAAAAGGGTTTATGCAGAGAAAAAGAAAGGTTCATCAGTATACCCTTCATAAAAAAGGGTTTCTTATTCTACGGTTATGGGTTTGTGGTTATAAATTTTATGGAAAGGGTTTTTTATTCTACGACGAAATGAAAGGTTCATACCTGCGTCTATTCACAAAAAAAGTTTTGCCTTGCGTAACTAAGGGTTTATGTTCTACTCTTTCATGAAAAGCGTTTACTATTCTACGATCAAGAGCTAATTATTCTAAATTTTCAACAAAACGCTCTCTCAGTATCACTTGAAATATTTTGCTACGGTGGCTATTTCCAAAAACAAACATGTTTCGATGGAGAAGAATACTATCAATCAATATAAAGTTTTCGATAATTGAGGAGTTCTAAAAAGATCAGAATACTAAATCTTTCACAATATTTTTGTTTTAAAATTTAGACATTTCGAAGCGTTATTTTTCAGTGCCTAAAGAGAAAAGCGCAGAAAAAATTCTAAAAATTATTTAAAATTTATTTCAAGGAATTCCTATTAATTAAATAATTTATTAAATATATAATATACTTTTAAATATCGATATATCTGCAATATGAACTATAAAATTTAAGTGATCTACTTTAGTAATATTTTAAAAATATCATTCAATTTCAAATAAATGAGCGATACAGAAATCTTTTATTCCGATTTCTTCAATAAAACAAGAAGCGCCTATTCAGAAGAACATCGTTTAACTTAAGAGTACATTTCATACTATGCAAGTTGAGCGCGAATCTGATCGAATGGATGACAAGTTAGACAATCATGGATTATGTCATATGTTCGAACCCAGGTGACAACAGTAAGTACATCACTTAATTAACTAGATGGTATTCGAGTCTGACTCGAAAACGAAACGCAGTGCGAAGCACGATGTACGAATCAGCATAAAACTATCCCATAGAATAAATATGAGTAAATTTCTTGCATGATCGATAGTCAATTAGTTAGTTTCTAACAATTTTACACTGTTTGAAAAATGTCCGTCTGTTTCGCATATTGTCAAGCGAAAAGATCATAATGTGCTTGATCAGATGACTAATGTCAAGACTATGTGAAAAATGGTAATAATAAAATTCATCATTGTGGTGAAAAAAAAACTATCATTCTCTAAAGCTATTTCGATATAATGCCTCGTGATAACTAGGTGAGGATGAATCGAACTAAGTGAGGTATTAAAAGAATCAAAACACGTAGTGATTCTAAACAGATTCAAACTAAGTGAATTTTTTTCTAAATTTAATCGTTTTGATAAAATGTATGAATTTTTAAATTGAACCAATTTGAAAACCTAGTAAAATAGTACGATGTAAGATGTAAATGATTGACAATTGCAGACTTTTGATGTATTGTTTTTTTCTTTTTTCATTAATGAAAATAACGAATAAGATTTTTAGTAGCCTCCTACAAACTTCTCATAATTAATCGAAAAGATGCTAGTAATTCTACATAGATGCGTATTATTAGTGCTAGCGATAATTTACCGCTGCTAGGATCAGTGGCAAGTCTTGGTATGCTCGGCTCGACTTAATGAAAATGAAATCCACAGATTATTAGTAATATCCAGATTTTACGTTGGGCGAACGAAAGGTCATAGAGTGAATCAGACAAAATTTGGTATCTATTCGGACCTCAACGATTCTCATGACGTTTCAACCAATATCAGGCGATATGTGGTTCTCGAGATCATCGCGACACAAAATATGGAGCTGGGATACGTATGGTCGAGAAGGAAAAAAAATTCTCCAAGGATCGATATACAGTGCTTCGCATCGTAATAATTTTCTATGTGTTGTAATAATCACTATGGAGAAACAACTACGGATTCATTTTTTTTAGTAAAGTTGTTGCATATTATGTTACTAAAATTTCTTAGTCGATGTACTCTAATAATAAGAAATAATGATGTTGCCATTTGGCAATAGCCGACCGAAAGGGACAAAAGTTTCGAAAATTTTTTTCTGCTTTAATGATCAAATCAAGGTATTTTACACCGTTTTCACTTCAATATATGTATCTTTGAAAAACAAAACCTATTTTTGCACTTATGAGAAGGCATCTTCAATATTTTTATTATGAGATTGTATACGTGCATGTTGCAATCAAAGCGTAAAATATTATGAAAAGTACTGCTATTGAAAAAACATTCTATTTTTTGTCGAGAGTTTTTCATTTCTTCATGAGAAAAGAAAAACAATTCAGTATTTAGTGTCTTTGCACTGGAGTCCCTTACTAGTCGGCAACACTTTTGTTCTAATAGCTTTGAGTGCGAGTGTGAATAATTGAACGAAATGTACTATTGCTGCTTGTATTATATACTAAAGCCATCCATCGCGCAGTATTATCATTGATGAAAACAACGTAAACAAAAAATTTTTTTCAAATTTTTGACTCTTTATCGCCGGCTGTTGCCAAATGACAACATACAGTTTTTGTAATAAAAAATAATATTTTTGTTTCAAAGGCTATTTTTTTGTTATACTTATGATACAACAATAAGAAATATGTGGAAAAAGAATTTTTTGGTATTCGCCTTCTAGGAGCGAGCAGTAAAGGGGTATAATGTTTCGGCGATCTAGAAACTCTGACAATAAAGTTACTTTCCTCGAATCTTGATGCTTTCCCAAGATAGAACGAGTAGAACTCTTTTTACCATCACACTTACATAACTAAGACAACTACATAATAAATACTAGGTTCTTATGATTTTTTCATACTTAGTTTAAAATGTACATGATGTCATATCAATCGTGAGATGACAATAAGTATTCTAGTATTATTAAAAAATAGAAAAACATAAGGAAAAAATTCCATCGATGAGTTTCACAAAACGAAATCATCTTCATATTATTTGTGTCAAGTAAAATAAAACGAACATACAATCGAATAAATCAGCTTTCACTAGCGCTATCATAGCTAATAAAATTTTTAGCATTAACACATTCATATATAACAATAATATTCTTACACATGGACCAAAAAAAGTCAATATGTCTTTTTATTTCCGAACACTGCTTCGTCACAATCTACAATGGTTTAAACTCTTTCACAATTAAAAGCAACTAGCTTTTTCCTATGCTCTGAAATATAATGTCATTATTTTACGGGTAACGTGACAGAGGTCGCTATCATAGATTATTTTAGACATCATTTTCGAATCACCCTTATTTTTTTTACAAAAGTCAGTGGTAAATAGCTTTGAAAACACTTCAAGTTATAGAAAAAAAAATTCATTAAGTTATGACGTAAAACCATAAAATACTACTCCAGTGTTCATCTTCCGAGTCTCTGTATCCTACCTTCATACCGTTTCATAGCGATGTAAAGTATATCATTTAATACAGAGTTCAATGTTCTATCGCATGGCATTAGTATTTTCCCGAAAACTATTTTAGAAAATGAGCTGTGATCAATATATTTGAAGAATATATTGTTGTGTAGTGTTTAACTTACAGTTTTCGTTTTTTTTCCCTATATAATGAGATCATATGAAAATGTAACAGATATAGATTTGTAGAGCACATTGAGCTCTATCGATTGTTATATATGATTTAATTATGAAATTAAAAACTCGCGAAAAAAAAATGTGCACAGACAAATTCTGTATAATGCGTAGAATATGATGTCAATGGTCGATATTGAAATGGAATATTCTCACGATTCGAACGTTCTGAAACAATTTCCTCTATATCATTCGATGCAGCATTGAAAGCTCTATCAGCTAGTATAAAATATATTTTGGACATGCATTTCTCTCCTAGGCGTTAGACCAAAATATTAAAAAAATGGACAGCGTGTCATATACAAGAAAATCTTGATTTTTCGATTTTTTTCCGTTTGAAACGCAGTTTTGTAGAACAAATCAAGCTGTGTCGACTGGTATATGACTCGATTTCGACAGTGAAAAATTTATACCAAAAACATTGACTGGAACTAATCGACCAATTTTGACAATTTTTAGAGCTTTTTTGAGAGTGTGTCTGGTACGACGGCTCCAACGAGCCAGTAGTAAATCTTTAGACCGCAATATTTTGCATTCATATATGGTATACAAGGGCTGACATTTCTAGAGGGTCAAATCCAAAATTGGTTGACCCCCAGGTTTTTTCAAATTTGAAAATCTTTGATTTTCTCATGAAGCGTCTCTTAAGTTTCATACGATGCTTTTTAATGAAAAATTGATGTAAGGCAGGAAAAATATGTTGGCACTAAAATTTTTCTTTTTGCATCGATTTCTCACTAGAAAATGATTGCATACATTGGTAGCAAAAATTGACGAGATAAATAAAAATAATTAGAATGATGCTGTGTTGATCATAATAGCTAGAAGGAAAAGCAGTCAAAAAAGCAACGGTGATGCACTTGTGAAACAATCAAATGTGGTTCTATCATATACGATCGAAATTCGTGAACAATCATCGTTGCCTAAACTAAAAATACAATGTGATCAGCTTGACATTTGAATGAATATTCTCTATTACGAACCGATTTAGAAGCATAAGTCAGTTGCCGTTGCTGCGCTCTTCGGATGCTGCAATAAAGAAATTTTCGAATAGAATTGAATTGTCCCTTAGGAAAAGAATCATACACTTAGGCAGTATTCCAGTACGCCTACTGGGTCATCTTTGATTTTCTTCAGTTCATCATAAAATCGACGAAACTCACTGGCAGCTTGAGCACGTTCCATTAATTCCTGTGTCGATTTCGCATCAACCAACAAATAATCACCTTTTCCATTTGGGCAATAACCGAATAGTTCTAAAAGTTGTAATGTTCCGGGCTAGAATAATAACGCTCACAGAGCAATTTGGTCGAGGCAAATAGACAAACCTTCATGGCAATTTTTTGAATAATGTGCCAATGAAGAAATGCTGGCTTTGGTATTTCCGGTTTGGAAATATACAGAAGAGGAACTAATGGTCGAAGGAAAGATTCAATGTCTTCTTTCACCTTCAATAAAACAAAATTTTGTCCCAAGTTTTTTTAGAAAGTTAGCAGAAAATAAAATACGCACGTGACCGATGCGAACATTGGCTTGTACAATACTTTTGGCAGGTAGAATTGAATACGACGAAAATGGAACGGCTATGCGAATCTAGTTAGTTCAATTGAAAATATCTGTTTTATGAATCAATAAAATACATGCTAACTGCTTGTGAATCATATTCAAGTTTCACAGCTCATCAAACTTCGTAGACATCATATAAGTATGCAAAGAAATTATTCTGATGTAGACGACATGAAATCATGAGAATTACAATCGAAGATCAATATTTCAACCCCCATATAGTCATTTGTTTCCGATTATTTTTGAAATAATTTTCCCATTAAAAATTCTGTTTTTTAAATGAATTTGTCGAAATAGCAGAGATGAAACAACCAATGGCAATTAGAAAATATTCAAAAAGCTTGTTAGCGTAGCCCCTTTGGGGCTAAAATGTGGAACTCACATATATCCCTTAGGCTTACTAAAATAATTCAAAATAGTTCATCTAAAAAATCTTCCTTTATTTCCAAAACCTATAATTACGTCATTTGCCTATTTGCTTATGTCTGTAATGGAATATTAATTGTTAGCTCGTGTATTTAACAAAACCAGAGACTAGTTTCTATGGTCTGTGATGGACAAGCATTGCTTTTTTCCTGTAGTCGGTAATTAAAAAAGGAAGAGATAGCAGCCTAATTAGTCAAGCTCCTAATTAGCACAATTTTTAACTCATTAATGTCTGTAATATGAAGGGGTGGAGAGCTGCAAAAATCTCGTTGTTAAACTTACACTAACCATTTTCTTAAAAAATATATGCGAGTTCCAGAAAATAGAAAAAAAGTAAAACTTTTGGCATTCAAAATTACTTGATTTGTCCTACGGTTTTTAGACATATCGGTCAATTGTATCTTGAATTAGTTTATAAACTCTTTTATTCTAAAATAGACCCACAATAACTAACAGAAAATATATTATTGTGAAAGTACTTGAAGAGGAATCAAAAATTACATATGCTCTGCACAGTTATAAATACACCGAGCCGTTATGTATAATTGTAATTTTGAATAGGATCCACTTTTTCTGAAATTACAAAACTTAACTAAGTTCACTGCTAAGAATGACATAAAACATTTAAAATTTAATCAGAATATCGATTATTTTTATTACATCACCTGATGGCTGGCATAAAAAAAACTAAAAGAGAGCAGAGCGATGTCATTTCTAGCGAAATTGGAAATGTCGAAAAAGAGTTTAAATTCTCATGAGAGAGGTTTCTTTTGAAAGCTTCTGTGTCATGCAGATGATTATGATCACCACGGGATTTCAAACAAAATCGTAAGTACTGAGAAAAAGAAAACAAGATACTTCACTGAAGACCATAGAAAAATCGCCGAATATAGTAGGAAAGAGCAGGAGATTGACAAAGATTATTGAAAAAATTAGACAAAGTTTCAGACTGCTTCAACCTTTTGGCTTTTCCAGCTACTCTTCTGTCGGAACCTGACGCTACTTATTGACATGGGAAATATTTTCAAAAGTTTTAAAAAGAATATATTCTTCGCTATTGTCAAATGATCGACATCTTTTGTCGGTGTATCTATTTTTCACTATTTTATCTTTCTCTAGTTTCTTTTTATTGATCATTTTGATATTATCCATTGAATGAGTACATTGATTATAATCAAACCACTTCTGTTTTAATTATTTGTTCTTTATACGCATTATTATTGTAACGATACATTGAATGTAAAAAAATCGTCATAACACTCTTGAACAAATCAAATATAACAATTTTATCGTCTACCTAAATTTCTAACAGGACCAAACCATCCACTAATTTTCAAGCACTTGCTTATTTCTCAGTTCAAGTGTTCTTTTTTGTGACTTGTAATTTAACATCGGAACTATTGTCAAACAAATTTAACACATAGCGAAGAACGGTCTAAAAACCAGTGAAGTCAACTTTTTAGTTTTGAGATATAGAAATGATAATCGTGATGATACTTTCTAAGACAAAAACCATTGTATTGAAACTAAGAGTCATAGAGTTAAAACTGTGAATTTTCTGATCCCTTGGTTACTTTTAGCTCTTCGTGAAATAGATTATCGTTTTCTTTTTAAATCAAGTAGCATGTTCTAGGGATCCGAGACTCGCCGAGTTTCCACGCCTTATCTCGCGGAGAGACTAGGCGAGGCGATATTCTTTGCACTGTGGCGAGTCTGATTTGTTCTTTTTTAAACTCGCCGATACTTACAATGTCATTTTTGATGAATAAGTAGTAAATTGGTATCTGGATCTTATAATTTCACTGTAGATTTGTTTTTGGAGTATCTATTGACGATAAAACTTCACTAATCGAAAGAATGAATGACTAAACACACATGTATATATGTTTGGGACAAAATTGGAATTCTAATTCTACGGAGGCAAACTTAGGATTCTACTACATATAAATTCATACCACGGAAATAAATAAAATAAAAATAGAATAATTAATGTTATTAAACAGCATCTTTTTTATTTTATAAACATTTTACGAATCAAAGTTTTTTATAGTCTATCCCAGTCCCAGCAGTAGAACCTGTGGTGGTGAGGGAGGATAATTAAGATAATGAAGAGCAAAACAACATCGTAGGGCTCCTGAAGCGCTATGTGTTTCTGGAAATCTGAGAGTTGTACACCAGAGCATCATGTAAGTCTATTTTCTATAAATCAAGAGCTCCGATTCCGCTAGAGTATGGAACTCATGAGACCCGGACACGTCTCTATCGGTACGATAACTGGTACTTCAGTTTCCGTTTTTTCATTTCACTCCACTTTTGAGTAAAACACATGACTATATGAATTTATCTCTAGGCGAATCCTAATTTTCTCCCGACAAAATCAGGATTCCAATGCTGCCCGAAAAAAATATTGATCTGTATTTAAATTCTAGTTCAGATCAGGCAAAACTAGAATTACAGTCAATTCTGACTTGACTTGCCCAGCTTTGATAAAAATAGCATCATAGTAGTACTTATTGGTTTTACTCGAGTTTGGCACATTTTGGCAGATATGCACTATTCGTACTCTTTTCTTTTTTTTTCTATATTCAAAGTTCCAATAGTATGATCTGACACTACTGTCTAGGGAATTTAACCAGAAAAATTATTCTAACTCGAAGATATTTCGAGAAAAAATGAGCTGGAAACAAACCACGAATGACAGTTTCATTTTATATAAAATAAATCTGGTAGAAGCCTGATTCGATGAACTCGTCTGATGCCAATAGAAGCAATGAACAGTTCATCCTCTCTATAATGTATGGAACACAAGTTTGCAGTGAAAACAATAGAATATAGATTCAAAAAAATTTCAAAACAAAACCATAATCGCTGCATACTCTAGTGTCTTTAAGTTGAGCCTTTATAAATTTGATTTTTAGAAGAAAAGAACGAAAGTAAGGATTAATCAACTGGTCCTTCTTTTTCTTTCGCTATGATTTCTCGATAGTTCAGACTATTCTGTTGTGTAATGAAACATAAGCGTAGTGTTGTCACAGTTTAAGAAACCTATGAGCAAGGAGCCAAAGCTCGGACGAAAATATTTGTACTTGTACTCATCCTAGCTTCGCAATGAGCAGTAAAATTCATCGATCATCGATAATCCTGAGATTCGATATACCAAAATCAAGACCAGATAGATGAAGATTGATTTTAGTCAAGACACGTTTTAATGCTCAAGAATATATTTGAACACAAGTGAATTTCTATTTCCATACGTTTATAAAATATGCTTCCGAAACGATGTAGTCTGAAACAAATGAATTTAGCCAATGTTTTATTTTTGTTAAAGATTTGTTAAAAATGCTGTGATTTCGAAACTATTCGGATTCCCAATCAAGAAATAAAATCTTTATATATTCTTTGCTATCAATTCTGCATAGATGAGTCGGAAAACTGTAAAGTCAATTATGTAACGATACTTCTATATATTAAAAAAGTGGGACAAACTAAATGTTTACCGATTCCGATAATTTTAATACGAGTTGCTATGGTGATGAATCAGCCAAGGTTTCGTCATTATTAACATAAATTATCTTACATGTCTTCTAAAATAACGATTTTGATCAAAAAATGATTTTCCGACACTTTTTTCCTTCAATTTTAGAAGTCAATTACAGAGAGCAAGAATTTGTTCACAGTTGAAATATACTAATTATATTCAAATGTATAGTATTCACATGTTGAAAGATTCTCATGAAATAATAAAAAGTTTTATTATTACTTCACCAATACACGGTTACTCTATATCTTAGTTTACTTTTTTAACAAAATCTTTGCACTTCTTCTAGATTTCAATTTTGAAACACTATGAATACTACATATTCAGTTTCTCTCATTAATTTTTCTTGAATTATAAAATGAACTTCAGCTAGTATTGCTCTTGTCTATTTTTTTTCAAAATTGATAATGACCTGTCACAGGAAAGTGACTAGAAATTGTGATAACAAACAGAAAAATATACTATAATGACAGCATTATTCTTAAAGAATGAGTTCCTGAAACATTCTATCTGCTTTTGCACAATGAATTTTTCGCACTTCTACTTTCATGATGTTTCTTTTATCATTTTATCCTGAGATTCTGATGCAGAACTATGTCGAAATATTCGTCGAGCTATAAAAAATAGAAAATGTTTCACACTATTTTAAGTCTGGTATTCGAATCATCGCGAAACAGTTTGTTCAGGATTACTATAATCGTCTATGCACTTGGGTAGAAAAAGTTCTATTTCCGATACACACATGAATGAAATAGAAAAATATTTCCGAGACTACCACGCGCAAGGAAACATAAACGAGAGTACAAATTGCAAGGAGTTTTTTCATTTACATGAATGCAATATGTCTTGTTGACTTTATAGAACAGATTGCTTCGTTTTTCGAGTATCAATATGATACGCTGATGCATAGAACAAAATAAAAGACGCTCGAATACAGAGCCATAATACCTATAATAAAATGAGAATGTGATGAACGGATCAGCGTACTAATTTATATTTAAAACATTTGAATTTCTTATTTTCCCAAGTATAATTTAATAAAATATTCTAGCGTAAACTTTTTTTTCTTGTCACACTGCATACAATAGGCTATGATCTTGATCTGACTAACTCACTGGATTCGTATGACGAATAAATCAGTATTCAATTTTTATTACAGGCATCTCGTAAAATAATGTGCATTCCATAAATCATATCAGCTTTTAAATGATGCACACATTACTATTCTAAAATACATCTATGAGAGTAATTATTATATTATTTTAATAGAACTAGATTAAAACAATTCTGAAAAAGTAGGGTATAAGAGGTACTTAACAATATATAAGAGTCAAATCTAATGCTATTTATAAGGTTCTTGTTCTACAAATAAAATTATTCTATTTCATTCGAGCAGATAATGTTTAAGTAAGTTGAGTAGCCCATACAGGGGTAGGTAACTTACACTAAGAAAATTCTCGAGTTGATTTGGATGCTTGTTTTTGGCTGTCGCAAGTTCATTGTAAAATTTGCGAAACTCTCGTGCAGCCTCTTTTCGACACTCAATTTCTTGTGGTGACTCCGTATCGCAGTAACAATATTCTCCTGCATCGTTGGGTAGCCACCCAAGTAATGGTAATAGTTTTGATGTTTCAGGCTAAAATAGATAAATATTTGAAATAACCGAATAAACGATTTGTATCAAACCTTAATAGCTAAATTTTGAATTATGTTCGGATGAAGAAGATGAGGTTTGGGTATGTCTTGATGGAAGATGTATAAAATTGGGCCCAATGCCATAAGTAAGCATTCAATATCTTCTTTTACCTGAAACGTGAAACTATACTCATTAGAAATTCAATAAAAAACAAAATAATCGACGAGAAAACACGCACATGACCAATGTGAATATTATTTCTCACAATGGCTTGAGTCGGTAAAATGTGATATGACAGGAAAGGAATCATCGTTTTGGTTGATCAGTAATAATATGCAATAGAAATTCAAAATGATATTTCAAATAAATAGCAGAAGCTGTTTTAGCAATAAAAATTGTCGTCTGTTTTATTGATGATTTGTACGGCCATCTTAATCGGTACCTCAATATTCTGATAATTTAATGATTAATGTATGGAAAGACGAGAGAACTATATTGGCCAAATTAGCATAGCTTTTTCTTTTTTTCTCTTTCTCTCTTGCTTTCTTGCTTTCTTTGCTGATTATATGATATTTGTTATCTGTAAAGAAACATATCACGAAAACTACTTTAGGTCAAAAACAAGTATCAGATGTAAAGTCAATGTTTTCGAAAACATGACCCTTCTACTATGAACTTTGTCAACGGTATTTGATGAAACCTACTGAGAAAGATTCTGTTAATAATCTTCATCAAAGACGATGTACTAGTAGAGTTTTCTATTTTTTTACAATGTTGATCTTCATTTCTAAATGTGCCTAATGAAAAAATATTTAGTTTATTTTCTTTCGCTGAGAATTATCTGCTAATCACTCGTTACATTTCATGTCTCTCCTATGTACATACGACAGTATTTTTTAAATGATCAAAGACATGAGTGAAATGTAGAATTTAAAGGTTGAACTTGCTGCACGACCACAGTGAAATCTCATAACTAACCCAGAGCACACTGGCAATACTCTTTTATCTTTTTACGCATTCTTATTACGTGTTGAAAAGTGTGCAGACCAACAAAAATTTGATGACAGCATACTTGTTTTGATTTCCGACATATCGTTCTCGTTACCGATGACAAATAATTATCTATACTGCGTACGTATAGTATTAGACTACGATGACAGAGGACAGAAAAAAAAGAACGCAATGAGACTAGACATTTGTGTACAGAAAAACATACTAACACTTGCTCTCTATTCATATGTACCGATGACGATTATTATATTGAAATCAAAATATTTTCTAAAAATGAAATAACAATAGTAGACATTGTGTTTGAAGTATATGAAGTCTATCAAATCTTAGTCTAACTGATATTCCATATCCTCGAAATAACTAAAACATTTTCGTTTAATAGCCGTTTGATTCAAACCGGAAAAGTAGTACACAACTGGTTGAGCTATTGTTATAACGTGCACTGTATCGCAGTGGTTCTTCATTGATACTATTTTTAATATCGGTGATATACTGACCAAAACTAGTGCTAGTTTCATACTCGAACTGAATGATTATGGCACAAACATTTCAATAAAGAATTCTATTATGTTCTATATTGATACATTCTAAGCTATTTTTTTATTAGAATCTTATCCTTTCAAAAAAAAATAAAATAGATAATACTCATGTTGTTCTCTAAAACGAATTAATCTTATTAAAAAGCAGCTGACAATACGTGTAGATAACCAGAAAACGTTTTTTCGTGAAGAGAAATGAATCCAGCTATCGACTGAATGTGCTAACTTATTTGTATATCTTACAATCATAAGATAACGAAAAGTAAACATGCATAACATCTTTTTGTTCTTCTTTGATAACTCATTTTCTTGTTTAAGAATCTGCAGGACCGATGAGAAATTTTATTATTTTAAGATGTAAGAAAAAATAATAAAACATATTTTATACTGAAAGAACTCCAAGTAAATTCAAGTTGCTGATTTGAATGTATTTATAATTTAGTAAAATTTAACAATTAATCGATCTTTATTTCAAAAACTGATCTCAAAACGTCATACATAAAATAATGTACAAAAAAAGGTCATAGGATATCCATTCATCCAAGTGGATGCGTTTTGAATTAAAATTTTTAGAAATCAAGTTGCTTACGATAATAAGGATGTACACTAGTCGACGATCTTGACTTCGATCTGTCCAGATTCTTGTTTTTCTTCAATACCAGACAAGATTTTTTGAAATTCAGATAAGAATCTTGTTTCTTTCCTCTCGCAAAAAATCTTCCCTGAAGTTCAAGATGAGATGAATCTAGTCTGATTCATCAGGAAAATCTGAATCTGGAATGAATTACAAGATATTTCAGATTTCTTGAAATTCAGACAAGAATCTTTTTTCTTTTCCTTTCAACGGTTCTTATTATATCTTAAAGAAAAAGCTGTTAGCGCAATCCCTTTGGGATTAAAAGTGTGAAAAACGATGAAACTTCTTTTCTGAAATTCGTCTATTACTGTCACTGGTGGTCTGTGGAGCTTCTCTATTACGGTCTGTATTATGATGTATAGAGTCTCTAGACACCATCACAGGGCGTGACAGAGAAATTAATTAATTAATTAATTAATCACCTAACTAATTAATTAATTTCTCTGTCCCTGCCTGTGGGAGGGGGGAGTTCAAATTTCTACCCTATATACTTCAACACTCCTTTCAGATCGTGTTTCACAAAATATCACCTGATGTTTTGTGTATATATACTTATAAATATGTAGAAATTTGAACATTATATCTTTTTTTCTAGATGACGCGGACGAACTATAACAGATATATTTTTTAAATAGGCAGTTGTGTTCAAGTGTTTTTCGTTTCTTTTTTTCTTAATTTATTTGTACGCGTTATGAGCTTATTGTATATTTCCTTGCACATGTAATGTACTTTTCATGTATTTTTTTATTTGAAATTAAAATATAATAGAACCGAAAGGAGACAACAGTATGGATGCCTAAATGAAATTCATTTGTATTGCAAGAATCTTTTCAAAAATGGCAAGAATTGTAAGAAAACAAGAATCATGAATCATGCAAGAGTTGCAAGAAAACACGAATCATGTAAGAATTGCAAGAACACAAGAATCTTTCCAGGAAAGACAAGATCTGTTTTTTCAGCCAAGAATCTTGTCTGATGTTCAAGAAAAACAAGAATATGGACAGATTGAAGTCAAGATCGTCGACTAGTGTACGATTGTAACAGTTACCATCATCTACTTTCTACAACAAAATGCTATGGTGAGAACCCATCATGGTTTCTTAAACGAATTTAATTTGATGATAAGTGGATAATTTATATTCGTTACTGCTGCAGCTTTAATTTTATTTGTGATCACAAAGAGAAACTGAAAGAGTAGCGTTACCACTATCCTCGGTGTATACAAGATGTTAGTTACACTATTCCATTCTCTAATTTTCCAGTTCTGTTCCAGTTCTGATGTATAATACAATGTACTCGCTTTATATACGTGCACACGAGAGAGAGAAAGCTAAAAAAAAGATATAATAGGCATATGCGCATTCCGTAGGTTATGTCTAGAGACGTAATCACGTTACATAAAAGTAGATGGATAACATTAAGAAAGAAACCAGATAGATTGATGACAGTAACGAGTTATGCAAAGCCTATGGCATATTGCATAACGCTCATAATAATGTATTCCTCCTTCCTAATACCGGATCAGAGGATATTCCAAAGAAATGGAAACGCAAATATGTGAACAATAAAGGATGTCCATGCATTATTGGCACAGTTTCATAGATTCATGAAAGAACCATCAAAGGCTGTCAGTAATTAAAAGAACTTTGACAAATAAAAAATGGTTCTAGATGTTCAGAAGCGCTCTATATCTCAGCATTTCTTCAACAAAAAATTTAAATGTAATAGTATCATCTTATGTGCTAACACTTCATAACTTCATTAAAACAAAAAAATAACAAAGGATTTCAGCGCGATAATAGCATCTTATGTATGTGTTAGTCAAAAATGCTCATAAATTTTATATTATACATTGTGTCATCATCTAGTTCTTGTTTCGGGATGATCTCAGTGGCTCACATCTAACTTGATTCTTTTTTATGTCAGCTCGCCTATTGATTCCATCTAAACTATTTCTCATTTTAACAGACTGAATTTAAAATTAAAGTGCTCAAATATATGTTGTCTTAATATTATTTATTTATGGAGGTTTTAAGCGATCTAGTCAACTAGATTTAGCCTCTAGCATTAAATATAGTTTGGTCACGTTCATGTTACTTTTATAGAGTTTAGAAGAAAAATATTTATATACCCTGTTCCAGTTTCAACTAACGAAAAACATTATTGGTAAATTTTATTTTGGACATTTCCCTCAGTATAAAATAAGCACCTTGGTTTGTCTTGATCGCAAAAAGAAATCAGCGAAGCTAGAAATATTTCTATACTTTTCAGTATGGATGTGAGTATACATCAAGTCAATGCCCACCACAACAATATCAAGCTATAGGAAGTTAATAATATAAACTTTGTAGAACAAGTTCAAGATTGTATAATCCTCTTTAATTAAGATACTATTATTGAACTGTAGTTTTTCAATTGAAATTACACCTGGTATGGTTCCTTGTCATTTTCAGAGATATCTGTCATGGTCATCAGTGTTGGAAAAAGTAATGTAAAAACAATATGCCTCATATTTATTTTTCATAATAAAAATACATAGAGTATGGTGCATTATTATAAGACCACTTGTTTTAAAATTAAGCTTAATGAAATAAATACTATTTCGAGTGATTTGACATATATGAGTCATAAGGATGTCGCCATAAAATTTGCAAGCACTAATCCTGTCGTTTTCATATATATGTAAAATTGTCTCCATTTTCGTGCTGCATAATTATAAGACCACGTGATAGGTTTATAGTAAAAATCGAATCACAAGTCAATTTAAGTAAAATTAACAAATCAGATAACATTTAACATTTACGCTAAAGTAAGCTCAAAGTCATACAGTTGACGGAAAGCGAGAAAAGGTCTGTTTTAGACCTTCACCAGAAAAACAAGTCTCATCGATATATTGCTGACAAAATTAACCGATCGAACCCAAGTAAGCAAAAAATGAAGGGAGACTGCCGACATGACTAGTCAGCTTAATGAGGAGTGTCTTGCAAACACGTCTGTACTAGTCTGAAATGTCCTTGAGCCCAGTCATGTCTAGTCTGTACTGTCTGTTGACCTAGTCCAGACTAGTAAGAAGATTAAAACAGAGGTTACACGGTGGATTTGAACATCCAGCCCGACAGTGTT